TACTTTTCGAGTCAAAAAACGAGTGCAGTGCTCGCCCTAGAATGGTTTCTCAGTGCAGTGCAGCAAAACATGACGTGTCAGATGTCTTTTCTGAGTGAAACATCGAGTGCGATGCTCGCATTTGAATGGCTTTTCACCGGTGTGTACCTACCCACATGTGAGATGCCAGCTGACTATTGCGAGTAAAAGACTGAGTGCAACGAGCGCACTTGAATCGTTTTACACAAGTGTGCACCCACATGTGACGCCTTAGCTCACTTTTCTGAGTTAAACAGCGGGTGCAACGAGCGCACTTGAATTGTTTTTCTCAAGTGCTGCAGATGAGATGCCAAATGATTTTTCTGAGTAAAAAACCGAGCGCAATGCTCGCACTTCAATGGTTTTTCACCGGTGTGCACCCACATGTGAGATGCCAGCTGACTTTTCCGAGTAAAAGAGCGAGTGCAATGCGAGCATTTGAATAGTTTTTCACTGGTGTGCACCCACATGTGAGATGCCAGCTGACTTTTCCGAGTAAAAGAGCGAGTGCATTGCGAGCATTTGAATGGTTTTTCACCGGTGTGCACCAACAAATGAGTTGCCAGAGTACGTTTGTGAGTGTAAGAGCGTGTGCAATGCTCGCATTTGAATGGTTTTTCAGGGGTGTGCACCAACATATGAGATGCCAGAGTACGTTTGTGAGTGTAAGAGCGTGTGCAATGCTCGCATTTGAATGGTTTTTCACCGGTGTGCACCAACATATGAGATGCCAGAGTACTTCTCTGAGTGAAAGAGCGTGTGCAATGGTCGCATTTGAATGGTTTTTCACCGGTGTGCATAAACACATGACATGCCAAATTTCTTTTCTGAGTAAAAGAACGAGTGCAATGCGAGCATTTGAATGGTTTTTCACCGGTGTGCACCAACATATGAGATGCCAAATTACTTTTCTGAGTAAAAGAGCGAGTGCAATGCGAGCATTTGAATGGTTTTTCACCGGTGTGCACCAACAAATGAGTTGCCAGAGTACTTTTGTGAGTGAAAGAGCGTGTGCAATGCTCGCACTTGAATGGTTTTTCACCGGTGTGCACCAACATATGAGATTTCAAATTACTTTTCCGCGTGAAAAAGCGAGTGCAATGCGAGCATTTGAATGGTTTTTCACCGGCGTGCACCGACATGTGACGCGTCAGAGCACTTTTCTTAGTAAAAGAGCGTGTGCAAGGCTCGCATTTGAATGGTTTTTCACCGGTGTGCACCAACATATGAGATGCCAGAGTACTTCTCTGAGTGAAAGAGCGTGTGCAGTGCTCGCATTTGAATGGTTTTTCACCGGTGTGCATAAACACATGACATGCCAAATTTCTTTTCTGAGTAAAAGAGCGAGTGCAATGCGAGCACTTGAATGGTTTTTCACCGGTGTGCACCAACATATGCGATGCCAAATTACTTTTCTGACTAAAAGAGCGAGTGCAATCCTCGCATTTGAATGGTTTTTCACCGTTATGCGCCAACATGGGACGCTCTTCCGATAACGCCTCATCTTTGATTTCCACACTGGTGTGCAGAGTGGCGACCAAGTTATCATCCTCCTCGTCCACTTCTTCTTTTATTTCGTTTAAAATTAGGGCTTGAATATTCGATATAGGAGGAATTTCTGAAGGAGGTTCTTGGCGGGAGAAAAGAGCACCCTGACCTTGGTAGAAGGAGGCATGATCAGTTGCATCACTTCCAGATGCATAGATGCGGGAATCCGATGGGGTCCATTCACGTTTGATAGCTACTCCGTCGTACTCCGGGCTGGCTGCCGGCAGGGATGTTCCATTCTCAACAGTGGATTCACAATTGATGTCTCCGTTTCGAGCTGTACCAAGCAGATGCTTTACCGACTTCATTCTTGTGCTTTCATTCACTAGCCATCCTGGACAGAGGTAAATTGAAACGAAAATGAATTAAACGGTTGCTTTAATAATTTTCTGCAGAAGTTAATCATTTCACGGATTGAAGATATGCTAATTGCTGCACATTGCACAAAAGTAATTTCATCATCGAAAAAATCAGGCCGCATCACCAGATTTTATCGGGGACTACGAAAAAAATATGACGAGTGATAGATTGGCATGTGCAATACATTTTGATGATGACAGGGTACAAATAACGACAACGATCACAGATGAAAATGAGCAGCATCTTCGAGACGAAAAACATAATGTTCTGGTTCAAAGAAATAATGTTTAACCTAAACTGTTTGTTTAAATTTAAAATTGGTTGGGCCATCGCTCCCTGCTGATTTAGGTACCAGAAAACATGCTTTCTGGCCACTTAGAATACACGTTTGACGGGACTCATGACACAATAAAGAGTAGATGTTGGAGTTTTTTAGCCAACGTGCGTAAAAAATTCAGCTTAAAGCTGAAATCTCATTAGAGAGGGAAAAGGCTCACACACAAGCACAATTTTCCCTCAAAGAGATATGCTGTTTGGAGCACCACTAGTTACGTCCATTCAGGAAGGCAACTACAGACGCGTTTCGGCCTTGTTGGGCCAATCCTCAATAAAGAATGGTCCTTTGGATGGAGGTACGTTGGAATGGAGAAAACATATGTGTCCGGAAAAACTAGATACATCGTCATCTAGAATACGAAATTGTGCAACACCATTGCGGTGTTTCAAAATCTCTTTCCCAATCCCAAATTCCACGTTACTTGAATTCTACAGTGATACGCAAAGTTTCACGGGACAAATCTTATTGATTTTTGCTAGGTACGAGCGAGAAAACATGTTTGACGGTACTCATGACACAGTAAAGAAGGGTCCTTTGGATAGAGGTACTTTGGAATGGAGGGAACTAATGTATCCCGAAAAAGTAGATGTATCGTCATCTAGAATACGAAATCGCGCAACGCCATTACGATATGTTTCAAAATCTCTGATCCTTTTCCATTCTGCCGAGGGGAAACAAGTCAACTGTTTACTATGGCTTGAAATTTAGAGGTAGATTTTGCTGATAGCCAACTGCGGTTTTGCTGATAGCCAACGGGCGGTTTTCAAGAAACTGTTGACTAGTTTTTCACAAGAAAAATCAAGTATGACAGGAAATCTTCAGCATCGCAAATCGAGATACGCGGTTTTGCACTGTGGCCATCCATATGGACCGAATTTCGTCATTCTGCACTCGACAGTGCATGTAGAGACTCAAAGTTACTTCCTGCGGACCACGGTCCACTTTCAGCCCAGCAGCGATTCTTGAAGCTGGCAACACTGTTCTACCTCCATTGAAATACATGTGAAACAATCGATTCTTGGCGCAGCAGCCTGCCTCGCGTGAAATCGATATTTCCAATGGATTTGAATCGAGGAAAACAGTGTTGCCAACTTGCCATATCGCCAGTGACGGTACCCACGTCGGAGCAAGCTGCTAACTCACCAACGAGTACTTTATTAAAACAGGATGCAGAAGATTAATTTCATCGGGAGAGGGAGACTTTCTCTCATAGGAAGTGGGCATTACTATAATTCTGGGTACAAACAGAATGAACATAATTCAACTCCTAAGGATTTCACGCACCTTCCATATCCATGACCAAATGCAAAACTGCGCAGGTATCTCAATCTCAATTAAGACGTTTAAAGATCCGTGATTTTGTTTTATTTTATCTTCAAGTTCGATCTGTGGAGAGGGTATAAGAAAATTATTGACGTTTCTGAGTGTAAGTATTGTGCTAGCGCCGTTAAATGACATGGAGCGCGGAACGATCAAACTCCGGAGTGGGTAGTGTGGTATCCAGCGAAAATGAAGGAAATTCATAGCCTAACGGCTCTCTCAACTTGGTGACGTTTATGAACTTAGGTATTCTTGAAAATGTGGTCGTATTGAGACGTGCAGCTATTCGAACTCCGGAGCAGGCACGTGGTATTACGCAGAAAGGAAGGGAAACTTTGGTTTTATGAATGCCTCAAATTACTGACGTTTATAGATATTATGCTCGCGTCCTTATCAAGACGCTTACTTTTCACGACATCGTGATGAGAATTTGCAGGGAGCAAAATCTGCCCGATCACGAGATCGCGTGATTAAGGAGAGAATTACATACAAATTTTCTGAAATGATAAGCCAGAAATTGTGGTTCCTCATTGCGAATTGTATTTCTTAGTTTAATTTATCCATAATCAGCCTCGTTGCATTTCAAGTTACTTAATTATCTCCTGCGGTTTATCTGTTTAAAAGGACTGAACACGTAAAACCTTTCTATGAATTTGCCCTGCTTGATAATGAACAACTTACTATAGTTTGAGGTTTCGGTACGGCTTAGTTTCATGATTCAAAAATGAAACATCGGAAAAAGTAATGGCCAACATCCAATGCTGGTAGGCAGGATTTTGATGAAATCGGTCCACTCCGCTCGGTATAACGGAGATTTATACTAAAGAAGAAGCGCTGCGTACGAATACTATACTTTTAAAAATACAGGAGAATGCTTCCCTCCGAATATTTATTTATTTCCAAAGGGACATTCTTCCTTGAAGAGCTCTTTCCTACTACGGAGATACGGTTCCAAACGCTTAGATCCTTGTAAAGTACAGCCACTTATACTATACACGTTCATGTAAATTGCGTAGATTCATACGCTGTGTACTTGTACCTACCTATTTGAGACTCGGAGACGGTTGTATATTATTGGCTGAATGTAAGGTAGGTTGGTAGATACGTTTATTTGGTGCTTTAAGTAAGTAAGGGCCGGGTTGACCGGCGAGGCGCCCTCAAGGGACCAAGGCAACTGGCAGGAACCCCGCCGTCGTGCACCGCGAAGTTGGACCATGATCATTAACTTCGTAGTATGGATGTTACGCACAGATCGTGTAATTGCCCAGTTCATGAATTGGGCCGATTTTTGCTCATTTCACGAAATGGGCAATGTTGTTGCCCAAATTGTGAAATGGCACCAAAATTGCCCGTTTCATGAATTGGGGCGGGAAAAAATCGCCCAATTCACGCATTGGGCAAATAATGAAAAAAACGCTCACAGTCAATTTGCGTAATTGCCCAATTCGTGAACTGGGGCATGAAAATATTGAAAGTAAGTATTGAAAAAAGTAGAAAGTAGGATATGATATCATGCTAATGTAACTCACCTAATTGCTATTGGCGCAGGTCCTTTGCGGGTGGCAAGCGGAATTGCACTGCACTTTATTCTTCACGAATTGGGCAATTACACAATTTGAGTGTGAGCGTTTTTTCATTATTTCATTATTTTCATTATTATATGCGTGAATTGGGCGATTTTTTCCCGCCCCAATTCATGAAATGGGCAATTTTGGTGCCATTTCACAATTCGGGCAACAACATTGCCCATTTCATGAAATGAGCAAAAATCTGCCCAATTCATGAACTGGGCAATTACACGATCTGTGCGTAACATGGACACATTGTGTATCCTCTATATTCCCGCAAGGCTCACCGGCCGTCTGATAGCCAACGGTACTGCCGTGATAGCGAAGAGAGCCGTCGAGTTTGAATCCCCGAAAGATTTCTGAGAGTCGATCGAATGATTGGTTGCGATTAGACAAAGAGCGGAGGCTTCTTTCAAAATGTTCCGCTCAGAAGCTTCTAGGCCCATTTTCTCAAAACTTCATTTTTCACGGCAGGGTAGGTCTTATCAAAGACTGTGGCAGACGCTGGAGAGCACGGATTTTCGGAGCACGGGCATGCCTCCACCGGGTTGGACTGTTGCCGCAATCACACGCTGAATGTGGGACCTGAATGTGGCAGTCATCGGCCCGGGGCCTGAATTTTGCGAGTGTCACGCAAAATTCAGCAACAATGCTCAGCGACTATCGGATAATGTCGGATTTGTCGGAACTATTCGAGTAGATTTGGACGTATTTCTACCAAACAGACCTATGTGGAGGTGAGAAATATGGGGTGTGCTCGTTAGTTCTCTGGCCGTAAGAGTGAATGAGAATAATATAGCGCCAGTGACGTCAGCGGCAATGATCGAGCACACGCGCGACGGGGAGATGGTCGTCGGGGCGCTTTAACTCATGAGCCCTGTCCACAACGCTCTCTTGCCATACCCGCAGCTCATGAGTTCCGCATTCAGTTGCACATAGGTCTCTTTGATAGAATGTAAAATCCCGCTTTTCCAATTCTTCAAAAGGAACCACGCCCACTTTTACATTGCTTCTTATGCAGCTACGACGAGCACACCCCATATTTCTCACCTCCACATAGGTCTCTTTGGTAGAAATACGTCCATTTGATACACATCAGGATGAATATAACTCGAAATTGTGAAATTTCAACGGTTGAGCGATGACTGTTGGTTGACTTCCATTTTCAGCTGCCAAATTCAGCGAGTGAAACCGGGATGTGTGGTTACTATCTCCACAGATAGGTAGCGCTGGCAGTCGCGTACTCTACGAGTGATTGCCGATTTTTTCACAACCCAGTCGAACAGTGCAGCCGGTTTGCTTACTGGGTGACTATGTCCCTCCCGCACCCTGTTACCTCCAAGGGTCAGGGTATTGCACAGAAAAAAATAGATGGTAACGACAGAACCTTCTGTTCCCACGGCTCCTGCAGTTTCCATGTTACGCTTACAGAATTTTTGTTGTGAGAACAGAACTGCGGTCGTGGGAACAGAGTACTCTGTCTTCATAACGGAAGCTTCTGTGACTGTTACAAAAGAAGTAAAGGAGCCCTGTGAACAGAACTGTTTTTTCAGTGTGAAGTGTTACAGTCACCCATAGTTACGGTGACTGAATTATCAGTCACCTCCGCAGGACCGGATTTACATTTTTAACGCCCTAGGCTAACCTTAGGGTGGCGCCCCTAAAAGTAGGCGCTCTCTTGCGGGGGGGGGGGGCAGACGCCCTTCTCCTCCAGATCAGAAGGAGAATGAAAAAAAAAAAAAAAAAAAAAAAAAAAAAAAAAAAAAAAAACACGCAGTTAAACAGTTTTGAGGTACGTTTACGTTTGCAAATTGGTTTTGGAAAATAATAAGTAACAAAAGACTCGTTAAATTAAAAAAAAAAATTCTCAAAAATTGTCCGCCCATCAGAATGTTGCGCCCTAGGGTATAGCCTACGTAGCCGATTGATAAATCCGGCCCTGCACCTCCGAAGATTGAATCCCGGACCGCAGTGTTGGTAGCGAATTGCCTTGACCACTAGACCATTGCAGCCGACTTATTGACTGAATTTAGTGAAATTATAAAGAAGTAGAACGTGTTGTAGAGCGCGGTACACATCTTGCATTTCAGAAAAAATTCTTCATTTGTGCATTCATACGCAAAGTGAGATGATGTCTTTAGACATAGTTATTCGATCTAAAAAATTATAACGTGGCTATTTAAACATATTCGGGCTTTCAAAGCTAATGTTGAAGTGATTTTAATATTGATTTTGTAAATATGCATACTGCTCCTGTCAAAGATGAAAGAAAATAAAAATAAAAAAAATCCAATTTTAATACTAGATCCTTGTCGTTATTTATTCCGTAACAATAATTATTAATAAAATACCGTACAAATGAATATACTTTTCTTGACAATTTTTGAAGAACTTATTCACCGATGAAGAACAGATTCAGGCTTTCAAAGCTAATATTAAAGTGATTTTCATATTGATTTGATAAATATGCATACTGCTCATGTCAAAGATAAGGGAGAAAAAAAAGATTAATATAAAATACTAAATCTTTCGCGTTATTTATTTTGTAAGAATAATATAAGATAAAGTACCGTACACGTGAATTTACTTTTCTTGACTATTTTTAGAGGTCTTACGCTAGAAACATAAACTGTTGAATTTGCACTTGAACCACACATGTCGATGCTAATCAAAAAATCAATTTCAGAACCAGTTACACGAAAAACTAAATTTAAAGAATGATTAATTAAATATTTTAACGGCGATTTTTGCATAATAGCGCACAATCTACATTCACAATTTTTACAATAAAAGCAGACACACATTTAGGAAAGTACAGAGTTTTTCTCTAATTTTATTAACATTTTTTGCAACGTCAGAGATCCTTTTCACGCCCTTAAATGGTTTTACATCGGTAGGTATCGTTACATGATATATAAGAACCTTTTTCTGCGTAACAGAACGAGATCAATGCGCGCATTAGAATGGTTTGTCAGCTGTGAGCACAAAAATTGCATTTGAAAGGTTTCACACCTAAGTGCACCGCACCGAGACGTGAGACGCCACATAACTTTTCTCGTACAGGAGCGAGTGCAACTCTCTCACTTAAAATGTTTCTCAGCGCAGTGCAGCAATATATGACGCGTCAGATCACTTTTCCGAATAAAAGAAATAGTGCAGTATTTGCATTTGAATGGTTCTTCACTGGTAAGAACCAACATATTAGCTGCCAATTGACTTTTTTTAGCAAAAGAGCAAGCGCAATGCTCGCAATTGAATGGTTTTTCACCAGTGCGCACCAACACCAACATGTGACGCTTCACAGTATAATTCAGAGTAAAAGAACATGTGCAATGCGCTCACTTGAATTTTTTTTCACCGGTGTGCACCGACATGTGACCCATCAGATAACATTTCTGAGTGAATGAGCGAGTGCAATGCGCGCATTTGAATGGTTTTCCACCGGTGTGCACCAACAAATGAGATACCAGATTAATTTTCCGAGTAAAAGAGCGAGTGCAATGCGAGCATTTGAATGGTTTTTCACCGGTGTGCACCCACATGTGAGATGCCAGCTGACTTTCCCGAGTAAAAGAGCGAGTGCAATGCGAGCATTTGAATGGTTTTTCACTGGTGTGCACCCACATGTGAGATGCCAGCTGACGATTCCGAGTAAAAGAGCGACTGCAACGAGCGCACTTAAACGGTTTTTCACCGGTGTGCACCGACATGTGACCCACCAGATAACATTTCTGCGTGAATGAGCGAGTGCAATGCGCGCATTTGAATGGTTTTTCACCGGTGTGTACCAGCAAATGAGATACCAGATTACCTTTCTGAGTGAAAGAGCGAGTGCAATGCGAGCATTTGAATGGTTTTTCACCGGTGTGCACCAACAAATGAGTTGCCAGAGTACTTTTGTGAGTGAAAGAGCGTGTGCAATGCGCGCACTTGAATGGTATTTCACCGGTGTGCACGAACATGTGAGATTTCAAATTACTTTTCCGAGTGAATGAGCATGTGCAATGCTTGCATTTGAATGGTTTTTCACCGGTGTGCACTAACATATGACGCGTCAGTTGAGGTTTTGAATTAAAATAGCGAGTGCAGTGCGAGCATTTGAATGGTTTTTCAGCGGTGTGCACCAACATATGAGATGCCAAATTACTTTTCTGAGAAAAAGAGCTAGTGCAGTGCGAGCATTTGAATAATTTTTCACCGGTGTGCACCAACATGTGACACGTCAAATTATTTTTTAGAGTAAAAGAGCGAGTGCAATGCTCGCACTTGAATGGTTTTTCACCGGTGTGCACCAACATGTGACGTGTCAGATCTCTTTTCTGAGTAAAAGAGCGTGTGCAATGCTCGCATTTGAATGGTGTTTCACCGGTGTGCAGCAACATGTGAGATGCCAAATTACTTTTCTGAGTGAAAGAGCGTGTGCAATGCGCGCACTTGAATTGTTTTTCACCGGTGTGTACACACACATGAGATGCCAAATTTCTTTTCTTAGTAAATGAGCGAGTGCAATGCGAGCATTTGAATGGTTTTTCACCGGTGTGCACCAACAAATGAGTTGCCAGAGTACTTTTCTGAGTGAAAGAGCGTGTGCAATGCGCGCACTTGAATGGTTTTTCACCGGTGTGCACTAACATATGAGATTTCAAATTACTTTTCCGCGTGAAAAAGCGAGTGCAATGCGCGCACTTGAGTGGTTTTTCACCGGTGTGCACCAACATGTGACGCGTCAGATCACTTTTCCGAGCGAATGGGCGTGTGCAATGCTTGCATTTGAATGGTTTTTCACCGTTGTGCACTAACATATGACGCGTCAGTTGACGTTTTGAATTAAAATAGCGAGTGCAGTGCGAGCATTTGAATGGTTTTTCACCGGTGTGCACCAACAAATGAGTTGCCAGAGTACTTTTCTGAGTGAAAGAGCGTGTACAATGCGTGCACTTAAATGGTTTTTCACCGGTGTGCACCAACATGTGCCGCCTCAGATTTCTTCTCTGAGTGAATGAGCGTGTGCAACTTTCGCATTTGAATGGTTTTTCACCGGTGTGCACCAACATGTGACGCGTCAGATCACTTTTCCGAGCAAATGGGCGTGTGCAATGCTTGCATTTGAATGGTTTTTCACCGTTGTGCACTAACATATGACGCGTCAGTTGACGTTTTGAATTAAAATAGCGAGTGCAGTGCGAGCATTTGAATGGTTTTTCACCGGTGTGCACCAACAAATGAGTTGCCAGAGTACTTTTGTGAGTGAAAGAGCGTGTACAATGCGTGCACTTAAATGGTTTTTCACCGGTGTGCACCAACATGTGCCGCCTCAGATTTCTTCTCTGAGTGAATGAGCGTGTGCAACTTTCGCATTTGAATGGTTTTTCACTGGTGTGCACCAAAATGGGAGATGTTAGCTCAGGGCACTGCGTTTCCGAAAACGGCTCATCTTTGATTTCCACACTGGTGTGCAGAGTGCGGACCAAGTCATCGTCCTTCTCGTCCACTTCTTCTTTTATTTCGTTTAAAATTAGGGCTTGAATATTCGATTTATGAGGAATTTCTGAAGGAGGTTCTCGGTGGGAGAAAAGAGCAGTCATTCCCTGACCTTGGTAGTAGGAGGCATGATCAGTTGCATCACTTCCAGGTGCATAGATGCGGGAATCCGACGGGGTCCATTCACGTTTGATGGCTACTCCGTCATACTCCGGGCTGGCTGCCGGCAGGGACGTTCCATTCTCAACAGTGGATTCACACTGAACGTCTCCGTTTTGAGCTGTATCCTGCAGTTGCTTCGCCGTCTTCATTCTTGTGTTACCATTCACTAGCCACCCTGGACAGAGGTAAATTTAAACGAAAATCAATTCAACGGTTGGATTTTCAATTGTTTGCAGAAGTGAATCTTTCACGGCGTGAAGATAGCATTGCTGAACATGACCAAAAAAATAAAAATACCATCGAAAAAATCAGGCCGCATCGCCTACTATCAACGGAGACTACGACAAAGATGTGGCGAGTGAATGATTAGTACATGTTTCATTTCTGTGATGGTCTTACTTGTTGCAAAAGCTCTTTCTTGACAATTAAAGCTCATTTCGGGGGCCGTAAAAATCGTGTACGGCGATTGTTAGATTTCACATCGCGGTTGGAAAATATTACGAGAAACTCCTCAACCAAATTGCTCTTATGATTAGATGCTGTGTAACACTATTTTCGATGAATTGTGATACCGGTAAAGTTAAAATAACGGAAAAGGAGGAAACTGGTAATCTTTCGGAAATGATCACGGAAAAAAAAATCGGTATTCCTTGAATCGTTCGACCGGATGACATATTTAGCACCTCTGCATTTTACATATACAATACGGATATCCATCAAGCACGAACAGTTACCTCCACGCCGCCATCGACGCGCTTCCTTTTCCTTGCTGTAATTCCAAATTTTGTTGGTTCCGTTTGTCTTGTTCGTAGTGGTGCTTCAAGGGCCGCTTAAGCAACACAACTAAAAATACTAGAGACGTAATAGGGCCTCGTTTTTTTCTCTTTTTTTTATTCATTTTATACCCGAGTCTGAGCCACATCTCATTAGCAACATAGAGCGGAGCATCGCGAGTTATAACGCCTCGCGCCATCGCGCCTTCAATATTGCAGATGCAACATGGACATCCATGAAGCAGGAATAGTTGTATAGCTGCGCCGTTTTTGCAGTGACGCAAGTTGAAATATTACCTAAAAATCTAAAAATAAAATTTCACTTACCGAAAGAGAGATTTCGGAACACAAGGACCTGCAACAATTCAAAAACGAAAATTAGCACTTTCAGTATTCAAAAGTTGGTGATCAATATTGCAGAGAAAATCAACCAACTGTGAAATATCAAGTTTCTAGAGAGTTTCATTCTAAAGAGAAGAGCCAAAGATTTTAAAGGGCGGAGGATAACCAACTGTGAAATATCAAGTTTCTAAAGAGTTTCATTCTAAAGAGAATAGCCAAAGATTTTAAAGGAAGGAGGATTGCTTTCCTTGATTTTTGATTCGCAAGAAAAAATATTTGACAGAGAAAAAATATTCTTGTGCGGAGGTCTACAGAAACTGACTGATCAAAAAATCATGGCTTTTACAGACTTTTCCCAAAAAGATCTTCATCAGGAAAGTGCAGTCATTTTCCAGTACCTTCAAGTGACAACATTTAAAACTCGAAAAATAAGCGAAAGACAACAAATACATATATTTATACTTTCTATTTATTTCTTCCACCTTAATCCTAATATTATCATGAAAAATAAGTCTAGAGTCGAATTAAACTTCTAAACATTCAGCGTTTGTAACGTGCAAAACTTGTTCATATTCTATAAGAACTGATGATGGGCCTGTAGCAAACTTTGGCTAAAGCAGAAGTGAGTCGTTTCTATCAGTAAATGTCTTAGAAATCACGATGAGCGCATTGGCAGAGTTTAACTTCACAATCTGCGTAAGAAATTTACGTTTTTTTGAGCTTCCTGCTTCAAAAACGATACTACGGCACAGATGAACATTTCGTTAGAGGTGTCATTCCTTTCGACCCTTTCGCAATAGCAATACCCAACATAGCCGACGTTTCCGCGCGCAAATCGCAATCGGGAACACAAGGTCAACAAAAGCGGATCTTTGTCAACGCGAAGAAATCGTGTATTTAAACACGCTGGGTCGTTGACAAATGGTTAGAATCCTGTCCAGGCGCATGTGTTTCGACGGATTGGTGTCGGCTACGTTGAATATTGTGTAGTATCCAAATGCACAGGGGTTGGATTAACGACACCTCTATCGAAATGTTCACCACTGCCGTACCTAAATAGTATCGTTTTTGAAGCGGCAAGCTCTAAAAAAGCAAATTTCTTACGCAGATCGTGAAGTTAGGAGTGCAGTTTAAACTTTTCCAACGCGCACATCGTGATTTTCGAGACATTTGCTGACAGAAACAACTGTTATTTTTGCTCTAGCAAAAGTTTGCGACAGGTCCATCGCGGGAATTTCCTTGGACTGTGTGAGCAGATTTATGTGTGTTGAGCGTGGCGAAAAACCTCGCGTTGATAGCGAATGATTAAGAGCTAGGAAAGAACAAACAATTTTCACCACCATATCGCGGAAAATACATCATTTCAATATAGATGCGAGAGTAATATTCACCAATTTCAGTTACTTGAGATACGCGGAAAGCTGAGATTTTCCTTCATTTCGCGTGATACCACATTCCTACTACGGAGTTCGAATTGTTGCTACCTCCACTTCCGCGTGTTAAAAAATTTCGAGAGACTACGCGGGTTTCATTGGAACACCGCGGAAATTACACGACATTTCCAGGGGATTCATAAAATCCTGATAAATAAGGCTCTCTTAAGTTCTCAGTATTCCGTTTAATGCTTTATTGTTTCAGCGATTTTGTAAAAGATGAGAAATTAAAGATAATCGGCGCAATATTGAGGCATAAACGCAATGGACCTGTTGCAAACTTCTACTAATGCAAAAATAACAGTTGTTTCTGTCGGTAAATGTCTCAAATATCTCGATGAGCGCATTGGCAAAGTATGAAATGCACTCTTAACTATCTGCGTAAGAAATTTGCGTTTTTAGAGCTTGCCGCTAGAAAAACGATACTACGGCACAGGTGAAAATTTCGATAGAGGAGTCGTTCTACCCAGCCCCTGAGCACTAGGATACTACAGACTACACAATATTCAAGATGGCCGACCCCAATCCGCCGAAACACATGTGCCTGATCGAGATTCTAACCATTTGTTAACAACCCAACGATTTCTTCGCATTGATAAAGATCCGCTTTGATTGATCTTGTGCTCCCGAATGCGATTTGCGCGCAAGAAGCGTAGCGTCAGCTGTGTTGGGTATTGCTATTACGAAAAGGTTGAATGGTACGACTCCTCTAACGAAATGTTCACATGCGCGGTAGTATCGTTTCGGAAGCGGGAAGCTAAAAAAAAGACAAATTTCTTACGCAGATTGTGATGTTCAGAGAGCATTTCAAACTTTGCCAATGCGCTCATTGTAATTTTTGAGACATTTACTGATAAAAACAACTCATATTTTGGTTATAGGACATTTCGTCAACAATTTTTTGTCCGCGCACCTGTTTTTTTCCAGTAATTAACGTCCACGCGTTTTTTCGGCACGGGAGTTTTGGTCCACGTGTCAGTTGAGACCCAAAGTTAATTGGCCCACATGTAAATACAAACGACAATTGCTCTCGACGTGTTTGGATGAAAATATAAAACGTCTTGGAAGAATGAGGGTTTGCTTGTTCTGTTTTGTTTTGTTTTGTCTTTTTTTTGTTTTTTTTTTTTGTTTTTTTTTGTTTTTTTTTTGTTTTTGTTTTTTTTTGTTTTTTTTGGTCTGTTTGGTCCAACAGAGAATAATATATAGTTGAGAGTTTTGGTAAAAATGGGGGAGCGTCAATTCCATGAGACAAAATTCACTTAATTATCTTTCAAGAAATTCCCACCTTGTTATACCTGAACCGGATAAACCTCTATATTTGCCTCAGCTAAAGACTCTTACATTTTTCTTGTGTACGATAAGTATCTTGATTTATTTTGCGAGGAAAGATCTGTTCTTTTAAAGGATGCCTGTCGATCTTAATACATTTAAATTCGTATAATACTGTGCGACACCTCTGTTGTGAAATACTTGCTTCAGGCGCCGCCGCTCGGCGCGGCGGGCGGGTGGCCAGCGCGAGACGCGCATTGGCGCCTACAAACCTAAGTGGATACTTCAAGCATTGTGCAATGCGTGAAGTATCCACTTAGGTTTGCAGGCGCCAGTGAGCCTCTCGCGCTGGCAGCACGCCGCTCTGCTCTGTTAGGCTTTAATATTTAGCGTTTTTTAACTCATGATTTTGAAATGTTAGCACACTCTGCATTGATTATTCTCATTTCAATTGATGGTATTAAAATATTATCAATTTATCAAAGGAGAATAATAATATAATGTGTGTTTTTTAAATATTGGTGGTTCCGTGTCAAATTTAATGATTTCCAAAGCACTTTAATTTTTTCTTTTACATTTTGCGCTTTTATTGTGCTGCAGCGAGGTGTACGCGCAATGAAACGCTCAAAATTTGACGTATTTGACTCTAAAAGATCGATGTGCAAATGGGTTAAAACTAAAGATTGCGTGCTTCTTGCTTTTTTTTCCTCTTTTATTCATTTTTGCAGTTTCTGTCGGCGCAACTGCGGCTCGTTGAGATTAATGTCGCTTGGAAAAGGTTTTACGAATATTTGTCACGTTTTAAAAATATAAATGTTTTCAAAATGAAGTATTAATTTCCCAAAGAAAAAATTAAAAAACGTACCTATACATATATAAGGTATATTGTACATCGAATATTTTAAGGATAGAAATAAAACCAAATATTCACCAATGACAATTTAAAAAGATGATTCAAAAGGAGAAAGTAATAACATTTCATTTAGAAAATGAGAAACCATAACAACACCTCCTTCTCTCTCAATTTCTCATTTCCATATTATTATCCTCCTAATATATAATTCCGTAGGCCCGATTTTTGTTTCGAAATTGCGCCGCGACCGTCGTGGTTCGTTGCCGTCGTGCCGATCCGGGCGTCGGAGGTGCCGGCGGGACCGTCGCGTCCCGGTCCCGCGGGGTCGGGAAAAATGCGGGGATCGCGCGTCGGGCCCCGCGCCCCTCGCGCCCTCCGAAACATCGCTTATCCCGTTCGTCCCGCTAGGAGATGCGCGGTTTTTCGTTTTCCCCGTGCTCTTCGTTCTCGGTCAGCTGATGACTCGGCTGCCCGAGGCGTTCGTCGTCATGGATATTCGTCGTTTATGAAAAATTCCGATTTTTTCGTACAGTGCGCGTCGTCTATTGAATTTTGTTAATATTTGTCGTGTATGAAGAATCCCGAATTTTTAGTGAAGTGCGCGTATTCGTTTTAATATTGGGAATGGATCGGAGTCGAAAACGTGGGCGTCCGGCGAAGCGTGGCAATGTTTCTCGCAATTTATCCGCGCGACGCAAAGTGCGACATTATGGCTATCTCAGTGAGATGGATAATGTACGACGTAGGGGTGAACAGGGAAATAACCTCAATCCATTTCGGCAGAGCACTGATAATTTTATCGAAAACTAGTCGTGATTAGCTCGCTTTGCGAGCTGACACGTCTAGCCGGGGAGTGCCCCTGGACCCCAGTTCTACGCTTCGCGACGAACTTGCGACTCGCTCCGCGAGCCGCCACCGCCCCGCACAGTTGTTAACATTGCTGAGGAGACAACATCTATGTCTTAATCTTCTTTTTCACCAAGTTTTACAAAAATTGATATTCTAGGAGTCCGGACCGCGTTTTCGTGCGGGGCCGCCATCTTGGATTTGGAAATGTTGAAAATCGGACCAAAAATGCGAGTTTTCCGTCGGAATACACCTCCTAATACCGAATTTCACAAAAATCGATGGATCGGAAGCCAAGATAACAACTTAGACCACGATCGCCATTTTTGATTTTTGAATTTTGAAAATCGGACCTAAAATTCTAATTTCCCGTCGAAATACACCTCCTAACACCGAGTTTCACAAAAATCGATCGATATCAGGAAGCGATGTAGCATTTTAGACCACGGCCGCCATCTTGAATTTTTGAATTTTGAAAATCTGACCAAACATTCTAGTTTCCCGTCGAAATATACCCCCGGATACCGAATTTCACGAAAATCGATCGAACAGGAGCCCATTTAGCATTTTAGGCCACGGCCGCCATCTTGGATTTTGAAATTTTGAAAATCT